CGTACCAAATACTCCATCCTCCACCACACTGACTTCATCAGTGGCTACAGCGAGTTTCTGTCCATGCCTCTCTGGACGTCATACACTGTCAACAGACAGGTATGGTGCATTCTGTGACCTTCACCCTTGTGATATGCCATGATAAGTCCATTAGTGGCTAGTTCAGTTAGAAAGAATCACTCCATTCCTTTAAAAACGTTGTTTTTGCTGGGGTTTTTTTAATATGTTGTGTTAAAAAAGTTCAACAATAATGTGTTACAAGTTGTAGGTTGTTGATTTTGTGTTCTGTGTTCAGGCGCCATCTACTGGTGCCACAGATGTACAGTATAACGTGTAAGACAATTTTGTGCACGTGTGTGGTGCCTCAGGTGGAGTTGTCTCCTCTACCAGAAGCTCTGTCCAACTGTGTGAGACCAGACACCAGAGTCCCTCCAGCCTACAGTCAGTCCTGCACCAACTACAGAGCGGACAAACACATCACCTACGCTTTTCTCTATCCACCACGTATGTTCACCAATGAATTCTAAAGTCAAATATGCCAATAAAACTGACTGTTATTTAAACCCGTCATTTCTTGTTTGTCTGATCTGATATTTTCTTTGCCATTAGAATTATCATCGGCCATGGACAAAAAATATGATGCTGTCCTCATCACTAACACAGTTCCCATGTATCCTGCATTCAGGAGTAAGTCAAAGAGTCGGTCCTAATCTTATTTTCAGCTTCAAACTTCTGTCTCATCTCATACTGTAACATGTCTTGTCGCAGGAATATGGGGTTATTTCCAGAGAGTACTGGTGAAGAAATATGCAAATGAGAGGAACGGGGTGAACGTACTGATTGGACCCATATTCGACTACAACTTTGATGGCGTCAGAGATTCAGCAGAGAAGATTCGAGAGTAAGAACGCAAAAATGCAAATGTGAAAAATCAGCAAAGTTGTGAACAAAGTAAAACTGATCAAGGAGCATCAAGAAGACTGCTGAAAATGTATATAATGGCTAAAATTTAACTAAATGGGGCCATTAGGCCAAGAAGATAGTTGATCAAGAGAAGCTTAAAGTTAACCAAGTCCCAGAAAAGATTAAATCTTAGCTAAATGTAAAACAAATATAGATATACATCCAAATAATAGCCAAACTGCTAAGTCTTAGCCTTTGCACAGCTAAACCTGAGCCAGAATAAGGTTAAAAATGATTCTTAAATTCTGAAAAAAAAGGCATAAAGCCCCAGATAAAACAAATATAATATTGTATCCTGATCTCACCACTTGTGTTACAGATATGTGAGTGGAACCATACCTATCCCCACACACTATTTTGTGGTCCTGACCAGCTGTTTAGACTTCACACAGGCTGCAGACTCATGTAACGGACCACTGAGCAGTGCTGCATTCATCCTGCCACATCGACCCAACAATGATGAGACCTGCACCGTAAGGACACTCCAATCTTGTGAACACTTTTCCCTCTCCCTTTATGATATCAAAAAAGACAAAGAAAAGATAATGCTTGTGCTTTTTGTCCTATTTATGTGCAGAGCTCAGAGGAGGAGTCCCGCTGGGTTGAGGACCTGATGAAGATGCACACAGCTCGGGTCAGAGACGTAGAGATCCTGACAGGCCTGGACCTGTACCGCAGAACCACCAGGGGCTACGCTGAAATCCTGTCACTCAAAACCTACATGCATACGTACGAAAGTGAGATCTGATTCTGATTATTACTGAACTTTTTTTCTTTAACTGTGGTGGACTTATGTGGTACAAGAAGGAGCTGGGATCATCTCTGTTACACTGATCTACACTAGCTCCAGCTCCAGGTGAGATCTCAATCCGGGCCGCATCCTGCAGCTGTTATCCTGCAGCACCTAAACTATAATGTGGCCAACCTTAGTCTCAAGATATAAGTTAAGATCTTGAACACTACTGAGTGCTAAAAGGATCATTTTCAGACCACCCACACATCATTTGATCTAGTTCTGTGTTGTGCGTCTTTTGTGTGGCCCATGTCTTCAATATGTGGGCCATAAATTTGAACCACAAATGTCTCCCTTCCGGGCCAAATATTGTGGCAAAGTGGTTGCTAAGCCAACAGTTGGACCAGAAGAATGCAAGGTTTTGATTCAACTTTGACTAAGATGTAACCCACATTCTTAAAATAGGACTTGGACCACTAAAAGGCTCTAATCAATTGTAATTGGCCCCTCAAGTGGCCAGTCTTGCTACATGCTAAAAGCATTAGCATAAGGACAGTACCATTAAAGTAGTGCCATAAGCACATACAGTATTATCCTGCATACACTCGACCCACTCTGACATCAGGTTTACTCTTTTTAATTAGTCTGCATTCAATCTGCTTTCTTCAACAAATGAATAGTAATGCAATGTGGTTTGTTTTGTTTTTTTTGGGGGGGGGGGGGGTTGTATTTTAACGTCAGTTTAATGTTGCTTCCTATCAAACTGTTCTTACCGAGTGTTGGTTGTTTGAGTGAATTTTTGTCAAGGCTGAGATGATATTATTTTGAAAAACATTTAACACCTGTGATTCTGTTCTATTTATGTTTTGTGTAAATTTCAAACAAAAATAAACCTGTCTTTTTTTTAAAATAAAAACGATATAAAGAGGTTGTAAGAGAGTAGGAGAAATGATGATAAATAACAATCTACTTGTACAATAGGCTAGATGTCAGGTGATTTATATATATACAGTATATATATCTAGTATTTATATATATATATATATTTTATGTTTATTTCAAAATATTATTTTGTCTGCATATTTCTCAACAAATTAAAACATTTTGAGATTTTTATTAGAAAAAAGAAATTGCAGAATTTCTCAGAAAAAGTTGATGTTTTGGTATGCATGTAGGTTTTGAGTGACAGGTTTTTACGTGTTTGGAGTTTTAAACACAAACTATTCACTTGGCAGCAGGTTATAGGACATAATCTTGCATTTGAGGCATTTCTGGGACTTTTTATTTTTTGCATTTTTTCACAATGGTAAGGCATGTTTTAGATGATTTTTATATGAATATTTCAAGAATCACCCAAAACATGCCTTACTATAGCCTTACCATCGTGAAAACATCCATAAAAATAAAAAGTCCCCGAAATGCCTTAAAATGCAAGATTATGTCCTAAAACATGCTGCCAAGTGAATAGTGTGTGTTTTTTAAAGGTCGAAAAAGTATTTTATATGAATATTTAAAAAATCACCCAAACCATGCCTTACTATAGCCTTACCATTGTGAAAAAATCCATAAAAATGAAAAGTCCCCGAAAGGCCTTAAAATGCAAGAATACGTCCTAAAACATGCTGCCAAGTGAATAGTTTAGGTAGTATATAGTTATATATATATATGTAAATGAAAAATAGTTTTGTAGTTTGGTACGATGGTAAGGCTATAGTAAGGCAT